ATGATGATGATGATGATGATGATGATGATGATGATGATGATGATGATACTCCTTGTGACTCAGAGGATACGACACCCCCAGTTCATTGTTTGAAGAGGAAAAAGGGAGGGTGTGTGCAAGACTGAACAGCTGTCTCACATATCATATCTTAGTTTACCAAATTTGCCATGTGGCCTGAGTGTGGGTCCCCATGTTCTTGCTCATGATATGGTCAACCTCAAGACCCTCAGATGCCAGGCCCATGCAGTTCTCCATGCCATGCAAATAGGTTCAGGTTGATTCCAGAGACCTACGACATGATCGAAGCTACGGTTGTATGGTCATCATCATGGATCCTCAGTTGTCCGCAAACACGGTCATCCTGTGTAACCCTGTCATCCCCTGTCAATCCAGTATCCTCAAAGAGTATAGGGACGGTCCAAGGGACCCTGAAAAGCCACTTCTCGGCTTTGGATTGTCCCATAGCCTACCCTTTTTAAAATGAGGATGAGCAACCATAATGAAATTTGGCAGCTGGGTGCATTCCATCCAGAGTCAACCTCACCCACCTCAATCAGCACCAGGTGGCATAAACGCCCCACCATTCTTCATTCGCGAAGCCGTCGGGCAAGCCGCCAAAATAACCGCCACAGACATCGTGGTCACTCACGGCGCCACACTTCCACCACTCGTCCTACCAACGAAGCACCTAAACGCCCCGACGAAACGCCTCCATTCACGACAGGTGTTTTGGAGGGGGTCCGCACCATCGCCCCCCCAATTGTTGGAGCCCATGGCCACCGCGGCAGCTTCTTACAGGTTCTGTTATCACAGCCCCAAGAAGGTTTCACAAAGCTTCACCACTGGTGGCCCGATGTGAGCTGAGCCTCTTGAGGCTCTGCAAATACTCCACGCAACTGGCAGGTTGACCTATTTTAGGGGTCAATGTAGGCAACGGGAGCATTCTAGTACTGGTTGGTGGTTTCAACTCACGGAAGAACAACTATATATTGGTTAGTGAGTTCAATCATTTTGAAGTGAAGGTTGACAATGACACGACATCTGTAAATATAACAAAAATAACACGATGCCAGTCAAACGATAAGTAAAAAGGAACATGGCACATGGAGTGTTTGGAATTGTGCCAATTGAACCAATGTCCCACAAGGACGACGCGCCAGCAGGTCCCAACCACGAGGGCGAGGGCGTCCTGGAAGGCGAACACGATGCCTGTGAGGTGCATCGAAGCTCCAAACAACATCTGTGCACCGTCCTTGCTCCTAGTAGCTTCTTGCTCCCTAGTAGCTATTTGCTACTAAGAAGCTTCAAAGACCTACTATATAGTAGCTTCTTGCTCCTAGTATATATAGTAAGGCCAGGAGCGCCCCTAGTAGCGTCCTTTGGGTCTGTTCATAGCGATGCCCTTTGTTACGTTCGTAGCTTCTTGGCGATTCCCTGCAGGGAACTGTGGCAACTGCCGTCCAATCACTGACGTCCAAGACTTCCAATCTCCGCTCTGTCCCGAGAAATCGACTGCCACGACTCCACTCGACTGGGCATCCAGCACATCCAACACCTCAGAGTTTCCTCCCCCAGCACACCTCCCCCGGTCTCCCCCATATCGACACCCAATCCGCAACAAAAGCCCGTTGGATTCGCCTCCGGCCACCACGGCGCGCCAGTCGCGCAGCTCCGTGGACAAGGACACCAAGGCATTGCCCCTGAGCGCGCGCGAGCGATCGGACAACGCACGACGTACGCCGTGGTGGAAGAAGGACATGGAATTGACTAGTAAATTCATCTGTAATATATAATATATACCAGGACCCCACAAGGGTTGTCAAATTTTAGCTGCTTAGAGGTGATTCGGGGTGTCCATTAGCCACCCCGAGCGCGTGGGTCCTGGTAGAGAGAGAGATTTGTTTGAGGATGGGTAGGTTGGTGGGTTGGACGTTGTTGGACTAATATGAGGATGGGGTGTGTTATGTGTGTTGGTCTAAGGGGTGGACTTTTGTTGAGGGCACAGTGTGAGAGTGGGAGTATACAGGATTTACCTACAGTATATATCCTTCCAAAACACGGGCTAAAGTTTTAAGGTGACAGGCACAGCCAAGGAGTCCTGCCCATTGTATGGTGAAGGAAACATTGACAAAATCCCGCATTTCATCCTGGGGCTTGGATACCAAATGTAGGAGATATGGGGAAAATGGGTAATAACGAAAGAAGTTTTCCTTGTTTGTGAAAACTTTCCAATCCCCTCTAGGCAAATCTAGTTCACGGATGCAATGTTTTGGGTGTTCAGCTTGACCAAAACTCACAATCATGATTGAACCGAACGCTTTTTGCTTTTTGGATCAGACTGGGGAACCCTGACCCAACACCTGACTCCTTCTTATTTTAAGGAACCGGGAACAAAGGAATCTATAGTCATATCGGATCAATCAATCATATATACATGAATCCAACTTGCAGCGCCCTGAGATGCAGTGCCCCTGGTGGCAAACTGATTCAGCAAAAATCCACAACAATCGAACGTTCGGTCAATTTGCTCGGACTTTTGACCCATCTAGTCGACTCCGTCACCTGGGAAATGCTTTCTCCGAGCGTCTGTTCGTCTGTGGCCCATTCCTGGCCATTGGTTTGATCGTAGGCGTCAGCTCCAAACTCGGTGATCATCAGCGGCAAAGTGCTGGGATAGGTGCTGAAAAGCTCCGTGCCAAAGCTACTTCCTGCCGGAGCACAAAACGTAGCAAGTGCTGTAGCCGCAGAATGAGAGTGCAACATGCTGAACATCCATGACTCGAGAATATTCTAGACAAAGTCCAGTGGTTAGTATCTACAAACTGTGTAACCTCTTGTTGTATAGGGCCATTTACTAGCTTTGTTAGGGTGGATATGTAGTTGTATTAAATATAATATTTAAATATAGTTCTATATATCTATATTTAAATATATGTATATACGTATATGTTTCATGTTTCATATCGGATATTAAACAAAGAAACAATGATGGGTTTAGAACCGCAATACTAACCGCCCTTAAAAAAATACCTACATTTGTTTCTTTCTGACTAGGACCTTCGAAGTGACCTGGACCTTGTAATCCCTATAGTTGTGACCTGCAACCAGAGGATACTTTCTATTACCCAAACGCTCCGTTCACAGCCCGACAAGTCCCTCAAAACGCGAGGGATTGGGTCTCCGGATTCGGGTCCGTCGCGTCTGGGGAAGGCGTGAGGAAGGCGTGAGGATGGCCCGTCGCCTCGGTACAAGTTCAAGCACCACAGATCCACCGCATTGGGATAGCTGGCTTCGAGCGCAAAGTAGTCAGAGAGGTAGTTGTCCTAGAGTCCAGCTCCACTCGGGCAGGGGGGTGCAAGTGAAATTGTTCCCTAGTCAAGCAGAAATCCATCTGAAAAAACTTTCAAGATTCTACATGGGGCTGTGGTTCATAAAGTAAAACCCTTCCAAAAACCTGCAGGTGTTGGTCAATTCTGCGAATTCATCCTCTGCAAGGAGGTTTTGGGTGGCATCGTTTTTTAAGCCTCACCCATGTGGAGGAATTGTAGGGAATCTGGCCAAAAGATGCCAAAAGCAGGTTCAAAGACAAGGTACTCGCAGGGACAACTGTTGAGGGCAAAACACAAGATTTGACAGCACTAGGTGGAGTCGAAGGGACATGTGGAAAGCTGCCTGCAAAAAATGGGGCTGGGGGCTGGGGGGTCCAAATCAAACAGACATGAAATGATGTTGAACTCATGCTTTTAAAAGGGATAGACACACAATGATACGCTGTTCAACCTGTGAAAGGATCAATGTAGTTGGTGTAACTTGAGGGGAGCTGGCCCCTTCCTTTGGAGTCTACAAGTCTTAGGTACTTAAACTAAAACAACCCGCACAAGATTTCAAACAACTGTAACTGCCTGCTCATAGCACAAACGCACCAACTACCCGGCTGTATCCGCCTCTCATCCCCTTCCGCCGGTCCATCAAAGGTGAGCAAACCGGATGCCACACGCCAGCAGCTTGCTCTGCCTGCCGTTTGGCCGAATGTGACTGACTGACTGACTGCCTGGCTGGCTTGCTGGCTGACTGGCTGGCTGACTGACTGACTGCCTGACTGACTACTGACTGACTGACTGTCTGACTGACTGACTGTCTGACTGACTTACTGACTGATTGAGAATTGTTTTGATCGGATGCTATCCATTACGGCTCATCAATTAATATCCAATAACCACGCCATTTCCAACACATCGCTACGGGGCTGGAGGCCATTGCGATTAGGTTGGAGGCCATCGCTATTAGGTTGGAGGCCAGTGCTATTATATAGGTTGGTGGCCATCGCTATTAGGTTGGAGGCCATTGCTATTAGGTTGTAGGCCAAGGCTATTAGGTTGGAGGCCATTGTTATTAGGTTGGAGCCCATGGCTATTAGGTTGGAGGCCGTCGCAATTAGGTTGGAGGCCATTGCTATAAGGTCGGAGGCCATTGCCATTAGGTTGGAGGCCAGTGCTAATAGGTTGGAGGCCATTGCTATTTAGGTTGGAGGCCATGGCTATTAGGTTGGAGGTTACTATTGTGTTTGAGGCCATGGCTAGTAGGTTGGAGGCAATCGCTATTAGGTTGGAGGCCATTGCTATTAGGTTGGAGGCCATGGC